TTCATCACTGACCTGAACAGACGCTTCTGCCCCCAAAGATGACTGATTAATGTACACAGAGACGTCAAGGTTTACTTTAAGGCAAGTAGCATGGCACAGAAGTTATTTCTGCTGCCATTCTAGTTAAATTGTGTTTAACTGGGCTGTACATGTCATAAGAGAAGCTGTTTCATTTCATCGTAGGCAAATAATACATTTATTACTATTCTACATAGAGTAGCTACCGAAGAGCAGGTATTAGAAGTGATTTTCTTAGAGCCCCGTGAATAATGTGTTGTTCTTTTTAACGAAAATTAGTACATTTTCAGAATGCATCATATGCCTGATATTAAGTTTATCGTTATTTCTAAAAAAGAGTACCACATGTCCATTCAAAGAACGTTATTAAGTGTATTTAAACATAAATATCGCTTTTGATTAATCAGTGATTATGATTTTCAATAAACAGTATCAATTTTTACTGAACAGCTTTGTTGCTGATACCTAATCTAAGCAACGAAAAAATAGACGAGACTCCACTTCTCTGGTGTATTAAGATCATAGGTATCTGCTGTGGTGTCAATCATGTGGGGAAGATACTGAAAACTGAGACTTATTCAAGAATAATATTGATGTTGCACATGATGATTTAAGACAGTTTCTTTAAAGTTGTGAGTACATACTTTCTAGAGATTGAAAAGATACGAATAAAAATTATAACAATAGTTGCAATTTTTTTTAAGAACAATACAAACAATTTATGGAGAATGTACACGCTATGCAGCCACTGCTGTGCGCGAATATACAGGTCTTTTCCCCAATCATCGGCTCCTTGACCAGCATGTGTTTCGTCGTTTGTTGCATCCAGCAAAAGAAGATGGATCTTTTCAGCCTATGCGGAAAGCCGTGCTGGGGCTCCACGGATTATACGCATAGACGGTGAAGAACAAGTGGCACAAATGATTGGATGCTCAAGATCGATCATGGATCGTATCCTTACAGAGAAAAATCTGCATCCTTACTATTGACGAAAGTGCAGCATCTGCGACGAGCCGACTGCGCGACGAGTGCATGTTGCTATATGGTTACTGCGACAAAATGAACTAAATCCTGATTTTTCACGGCACATTCTTTTCGCCGACGAATGTTGATTTTCCCGAAAAGGAATATTTAATGCGCACAATTCACTTCTGGGCAAACGAAAATCCACATTTCGCTAACGTGAGAGCATATCAAGAGCAATACTATTAATCTATGGGCTGGAATCGTTGTACTGTAACGTTATTAAACAATGTGCTCAAAATGACCACCATTAACTTCAATGCAAGTTCTAGCTCGTTGAATTATGTTGTGTTGTGTATTATGCAACATCTCAGGAGTAACTGTAGCGTAGGCTTCGTGCAGTCTCTCTTCCAGTTCTTCTAACATATCTAGGGGTTCTCTATATACGTAATTTTTAATTTGATTCCAAAAAAAAGTCCAAAGCAGAAAGGTCTAGAGATCTAGGAGGCCAGATATTAGTACTGCCACGCCCAATCCACCTATGACGATACTCTTTTCAATGTTCGTCGTACAAGTATCGAATTATGTGGAGGAGCGCCGTCGTGCTGAAACCACATATTCCGCCGTACATTCAAAGGAACGTCTTCCAACAATACCGGAAGCTCTAGTCGTAGAAAATTAGCATATGCATCCCCATTAAGGCGATCAGGTAATCTGATAATTTTATCAGATGCATTAAAATTTTTACCACAGTAGTACCAATGATTCCAGCCCATAGATTAATAGTAAATCGCTCCTGATATGCTCTCACCCTAGTGAGATGTGGATTTTCGTGTGCCCAGAAATGCCAATTGTGTGCATTAAACATTCCTTCTCGGGAAAATAAACATTCGTCGGTGAAAAGAATGCGCCGTGTAAAATCAGGATTTAGTTCATTTTGTCGCAGTAACCATTGAGCAAAATGTACTCGTCGCGGGTAGTCGGTTGGTCGCAGATGCTGCACTCTCGTGTAATGGTAAGGATGCAGTCTTCTCTCTTGAAGGATACGATGAGTGGTCGATCTTGAACATCCACTAATTTGCGCTACGTAGAGGACACTTCTCCTAGGATCCGCTTCCATGTTTCCTAACACTTGCTCTTCAGCACCTACACGTACATTCCGTGGAGCCCCAGCACGGCCTTTCCGACTAGGTTGAAAAGATCTTCTCTTGCTCGATGTAACAATCGGTGAAACACATGTTGGTCTGGGTGCCGACGATTATTCACGGGGCTCTAAGAAAATGACTTCTAATACCTGCTCTTCGGTAGCTACTCTATGTAGAATAGTAATAAATGTATTATTTGCCTACGATGAAATGAAACAGCTTCTCTTATGACATGTACAGCCCAGTTAAACACAATTTAACTAGAATGGCAGCAGAAATAACTTCTGTCCCATGCTACTTGCCTTAAAGTAAACCTTGACGTCTCTGTGTACATTAATCAGTCATCTTTGGCGCAGAAGCGTCTCTTCAGGTCAGTGATAAACTTCGTGACAGTTTATGACAAACAATTGTCAAAATGATTAAATTTATAACCACACTTCTGTTTCCTTTTGTTGACGGAGGGGGATTCGGAAAAAATTCATTCAACTTTAGTATTACCCGATTTTTTGTTCTTGGCATAGGTAACTTTGAACATAGAAACGTTCGGATATAAAAGCAGCCTCTCTATTGGTCAACTTAATCGCCTTCCAGTTCTCACACGGTTAAAGCCTGGACAATTCTTTTTGCGAATTACGGCACAGTTCGGGACAGGGAACATGTCATTCACGGGAATGGCGCGAATTCTGGGACACCCTGTATAAAAAAATACTCAACAAAAGAGAAGAGAACAAAAAAGAAAAAAAAATGGAATAATAATATAGCGAGGATGATGTTCTATTTGAAAAAACCGAAATATCGATATTTGAATATTGTTATTATATTTTTTGATACACACTATATTAAAACCGAATTTATACCACAATAAAGCGTGTATCTTTATTTATCTGTGAACAAAATATTCTGCCGCAGGTTTAAAAAATCACCCTATTACGATTTTTTTGTGTGCCCTTACATTGTTAAAAAATTTCAAGAAAATTGGAGTAACTTGACAATGTCGGATCGGAATTTCGAACACCTAAAATTTTCACTAAACCAAAATTAAGAAGTTTGATGAAAAAAATCGATCAATTTGACCAAAAAAATAATCATTTGACTGTTTGCCAGTGAGTGGTTTTCGGAAATCTTCGTTCGGCGTCGCGGTTCTTCGGAAAACTTCGGCTGGCGTCGAGAGTCGTTCGAGAATTTTCGGAAGATGTCGCAGTATGATAAAATAACATTAATTCAAGTATCGTCGTTTTATATCTAATTTGATTGAAAGTATTTTAGTTATTAGAGCAGTTTTAAGTAAAAAATATTTTCCGTAATAACTTTGATAACAGTGATTTTTCGGCTAAAAGTTAGAACTTTGTATTATTTTGAACAGTTTTAGTTGAATTCTTTCAAATAAATAAGGTAGTTGAAAATGAGAGAAATTTGATTATTTTCGTTGAACGCCGCTTCAACTTAAAATAAAACTGAGCCATTTGCGTGTGATTAATTTAACAGAAAAGTAGAACGCATAATATTGATAAAAATGTTTTGATTTCGTATAAGGTACAGAATTCTCACATCTTCAATTTTGTTTTTGTTGCCTACTTTTACAACCTCGGCAATTTAAAACATTAAAAACTGACCCAAATTAATGATTTAATGTTACGTTCTGCCACAGATGCTACATATTTTTTAAGTTTTTAATATTCGAGTTCAGCGAAAATATATTCTGGAATTATCAGCTAATAACTGATCGTCGTTTTTGCGAATAAATTGGCATTCTTGTGTAGCTGTACAACAAAGCCTTAAGTAGTTTATTTTTTATCAACCGTCGTAGATCAGACGGACGTTTCCTAAAAAACATTTCAGATTTATGGTCGTCGACCTCTTGTTGTTTTATAAAAATATAATAGACAAGCCAAGAGCTTTTGAAAAGGATCTAAATGTCTGGACTATTTTATATTTTTTGGCGGATGTTGAACCAAAACTTGTTTTTAATAACTTAGTTCGTTTCATTTATTTTTTATTTAAAAAAATGAAGATGCTCATTTTGAAACTGGGTTTTCAGGTTCGTAGTAGCCGTAAGTTAGTTAAGAATTGCGTCAGTTCTAGATGTCATCGCAGACTTATCGTGCTACCTTACCAGATATTTATTATAATTGCTAAATCTACTAGTTTTAAAAATAAACACACGCAAAATAGAAGTTTCTAGCCAGTGGTTTTAAAATCACGCGTATCGAAATCCTCTTCTCAATAAACAGGGCACCCGAAATAGTTGAGACCAAAGTCTGGTTCTTATTGGATGATGTCGAAGCGGTGTTGCCCCCATTGGTCGCTCCACGTAAGAAAAGCGATACCCATCAAGTGGTGATTTGCGTTTTGAAAATTTCCGGTTTACCAGTACTTGACAGCAACCTCACGTCGTCGCGTCGTGATCGTCGCCAGCCCAAGCCGTCCCCGATTTTTTAAGCACTAACCTTGGCGCCGAAAAAAGTTCAGTGGTGCTTCCGAGAGCCCAATGTTTACGAAAGTTCGCGTGTTTTTCGGCCGATTGGCGACCGGCTCAACAGAAATAGCCTTCATCAATTACGGCCGTTGAAGTCTATTATTACGAAAGAAATTAGAAATGATTAAAAACAGCCCGCCTAATATTAGATATCCTGTTGGCGGCGTTCCAGAGGCGACTTTTCTGTTCGGAAGCTTCCTATACGGAGGAAATACACGCTTCAAAATTAGTCAGCACTCCATTCAGCGCCACCGCCGCTCCTGCTCTCTGTTATTATTAAGTCCGCCCGACGTAAACAGGAGTAAAGTGCGCGCAGTTTCGTTGTTTTTCGCAAAAAAGACCATGTCCGCGTCGTAGTTGCGTAACTGGAGCGAAAAAAACGGCGGTTCGATTTTCAGGACGCTGTTGATGCGAGAGGCCGCGCTGCAGAAGCGCCGCAAGGCCGCCGAGGAGTTGCTGCGATGGCACCGGAAGCTCCTCGACGAAGAGCGCAAGATCAGCGAGCTGGAGGCGGCGGCGACGTCCGTGGTGAGGCAGGAGGGACCGAAGGACAAGTACAAGTTCAACGGCAAGCAGCTGAACCAACTATGGAGAAACATGACGGGCTGTGACGAGAAGAAGTTCGTCGAGGACAAACTCTACGTCATGTCGCAGACCACGCTGGAGCGGCTGTGCAAGAGCGCGAGGCAGCACTCCGGCAGGAATAAGAGGCCGCCGAAGCACGAACGCTCGAACGAAATGAGCGGCGTCAGCGACGCCAACAACTACTCCTCAGCGTTCGAGCCGGAGTCCGTCCAGGAGATCATCTCGCAAGAAGAAAAGACAAAGATATCGTCGATTTCGGAGCTGATTGATAATTTTAGCCGGATCGAGGACGAGATATCGACGTTGAGCAAGAAGTCGGAAGATATCGTATCGCTGAAGGAGTCCAGTCGGGTTGAGGAAGAAATACGCTTCGAGAGAGATGAGTCGGAAAAGACAGTACCTGAGGAGAGCGAAGCGAGCAGCAAAGATGTCGAGGACGAAGAAACGAGCGTCACTGAGGCGGTGGAAGAGTCGTCGATTAAGTTGTCGCCGAAGGATCTCGTTCCAAAAGAAGAAGTAGAGGCCACTCCTACACCTGAACAAGTTTCGACCAAAATTGAAGATTTGGAAGAAGCCAAGTCCATTCCAGAGGTTTCGACCACCACAGAAGACCAAGAAGAGAAATTAGAAGAACCAAGTGCTGACAAAAGTGTGGAAGAAATTTCGACACACAAAGAATCAGAACGGGAGATTCCGTCTAGACCAAAGGACCAAGACACCATAGCAGACCAAATTTCTAAAGATACTGAAGAAACGAAGCATACTCAAGAGATTCCATCTTCGCTAGAAAAGGAAGACGCGACGAACGACGATCAACTATCGATTAATGAAGACATAGAAGAACCAAAATCGCCTGAAGATCAGGCCATTCCATCAGAACACACGTCTACCAAAAGCCTGGATTTGGAAGAAATTCAAAATCTAGAAGAGTTATATCCCGTTCATGAAGTACACTTAGAAGAACCGAGTGAACATATATCAACTGAAGATGACAAATCTACCTCTGGAGAGGAAAAATCAATTAGTAAAGAAGAGCAACCAATTAGTGAAGAAAAAGATGCAGAGGTAGAACTGTCCACGAAAGAAGAAAAGCTAACATCTCGAATTTCCGTTGAAGAAGTAGAATCCGATGCAACACCCGATGAACAGACAACAGTTAGTACAGAAGAGCAACCATCGACTGAAGGCAAAGCTGGATTTATTGAAGCGAATTTCCACGAAGTAGAAACAGAACTGTCTTTGGAAGAAGCTCTAGAATCGGCATTTAAAATTGAAGAATCTCTAAGCAAACTAAATGAGAAGTTAATTAGCGTGAAGAAAGACGAACTAAGTGCGGATTCGTCCTCTGCGAAAGAAGTAGAGTCTGTGGACGAAACATCAAATAAAACCACGTCAAAAAGCTATACTTCTAGTTCTGTACACACAGACGTTGAAGAGAAGACCCCAGACAAGAAAACTAATAATCAGATTGACGTCAAAAAACGAGTTTCTGAAATTTTGGCTGATGCTAGTCCGACTAGAGGAGACAAAAGTCCTAGACTTCAAGATCTGTATGTAACAGCGTATGACGTAGGTGCTACAAATTCTTCAGAGTTCACTGGTAAGATTTGAAAGTCGTGAAGAAGAAAACGATTGATTTTGTGTTTTTTTTTTGTCTAGAATCTTACATAGATGGTCGCCCACTGCCTCCCGATATTTATGGAAGCGAAGCTGAAGAATTACGAAGGAAGCAACTAGCCATAGAACAAGAGGTAACATTTTCGTTGTAGTCTAAATCTAGCACTGACTCTCTTTCTTCAGATCAAACAAATAGAACTGCAACAGAAAGAGCAACTCCCGTACGTGTTTATGCGCGAAATCCCCAACAAACCGCCGCCTCCTTACACACCTCCCTCATCTCTTTCGTCCATTTCCCAGACAATCCTTCCCTCAGAAGTCAAAGAAATCAACGAACTCGCTTGCTACAGTTCCAAAGTCCTCTACAAAGCCTACCAGAACAACAACCTCGACAAAGTGAAATTCTCCGAAAACGGCTTCAAACTTTTTTCCAAAGTCGAAGTACCCAAAATTTGCGCCGAGTACGTTTTCGACATTTGTAGAGACGTGGCCAGGAACCACTACAAACAGTTCGAGAAGTGCGAAGAACCCACATGGCTGGCCACCAAAAAACCGCAACTAACGCGGAACAAACCACCAGACGTGACCGGTCTGGAAAAAATTTTGAACAAGAAATTGAAGGAACTGTTTGGATTCAAGAAAACTCAAATCGCCGAAAGTGCCATAATCAAGTGGGGGAGGAAGAAGCGGGACCACGTGGACGAAGTTTTAGTCATAGAATCTCAAGAGGAGGAATCTCAGTGGACCAACTTTGATAAAGACGAATTAATCGTGAAAAACCAGGTGACCGACGATATTATGAAGATGTTACTCGAAGAAACTGCAGCCGTTTTTGCCAAGATATTCTCCAAGAAGAAAGTTGTAGGTCGAGCGTGTGATAAGTCTGAATGAAGTATTTTTTTTAATGTGTATAATTGTTGATTTTCTTTTATAAGTCTGAATAAAGTATTTTTTTAAAGGTGGGTTATGAGTCGACTTCCATTTCGGCATCTGATTCTTCGCTTTCTTCACTATCGTCATCGTCGTCGTCGTCGGCGTTGTCGGATTCGTTGTCAGATCCTAACCACTCTTGTTTTGACGTATCATCAGCCACTATCGTTTTCCACTCTTCTAGTTTCTTCAAGTCAATGGAATAGAAGTCGTTGAAGGTGATTTGTTTGTCACCGTCTTCACACATTCCGCCGTATAGATATAAAACGCCGTGTTTGATTGCCAATCCGCAGTTGATTCTAGGCGAGGGTTGAAAAATTTTCGCTTGACTCTCTCCCACGACTTTTTTATCAGACGTAGAAGTCATCGCGGGACCTACAGTGACTTTAAATATCCCATCATCGGAAATTGTAGTCGTTTCCACCGTTTTTTCAATTTTTTCCATCTCCACATCTTCATTTTCCTTTTTACTACTATCTCTACTTTCTTTGTTCTTCTTCCCAGAAAGTGTGATATTTTTCCAGACAAGTTTTTCTAAATCTAGAGAGTGGAAGTCGTTGTAGAACACACCAGAGAGGTTTTCTTCATCATCTTCCACGTCGAAAACGCCTCCATAGCAATATGCCGCTGTATTATTAGGAGTGGAAGTGATGGGCATGCTGCAACGCGGCGAAAAATGGGAGCCCCCTAATTTAGTTTGAACCCACTTCCATTTTGTGCCAGTAGTGTCATTTTCTAAAAATTAACAATGAAAACAAATCAACACACAAAAAATGTTACTTACTGTCAGGCACCAACAAAAAGGCGTCAGTATAAACGTGCCCTTTATCCACATCTTTCTTAATTTTTTCTTTACTGTACCCCCCATAAATCAACACTCTTCCGTCACTTAAAGCCACCATACAACAAGCCGATCGTGGCGCAGGCGCCGTTCCCGTGGGTTCCAATTTCGTCCATTGATAACTCTCTGTATTAAAACTATAAACGTCATTGAAATATTTATAATCTCTTAAATTGTCGTGGAAGCCCCCAAACACTATGAGATTCTTCTTCACATAAACCATCCTGTGGCCACTTCTGGCAGTAGGACCATTAGGTGCCTGCACTTTCTCCCACTTTTTTGCCGCTATGTGATAAACCCACAGATCTCTATAGTGGTAAAATTGGGCTTGGGTGGGGCTTGCAAACTCTCCTCCAAACAACCACAGCTGGCCCTTGTTTGCCGAACTTGCTACCATTTGGTGGCTACAGCGCGGCGGAGGTCCTGCCGGAGCCTTAACCACAGTCCACGTGCTCGTAGCGACATTGTAAAAGAACAAGTCATTATACAGCAACGTCTAGAACGTAAATATTAACACGTGTTTGGTTTCAAAGTCGAAATTACCTTCTGTCCATTGTAAAATTCGCCCCCGAATAAAATCAGCTGCTCTTTGTCTGGATGCGCAATGAATGTGAAGTTGAGACGCCGCGTGGGGGCTTCAATCACACTTTCGACCACTTCAAGCCTCTTCTTTTCTTCTTTTTCGATTTGTGAAATGATGTTTTCAATGTCTTCCTGTAATTATTTACGGTGAACACATTGTTGACAAAAACACACGACTCACTTCTCCTATTTTTTGTAGTTCTTTTTTGATTTTAGTGGACATTTTTTTCTCGGTTTTGGCGGCGGTTTTCTCAGCGCCTTTACCCTTTTTCTTGTCTTTGGTTTTCTTACCCATTTTTGTAAAAGTCGGCACTTGTGCGAGGTTTGAGGTTATATTAACTAAGATGTTGAGGTTATGTGTAGTTGTTTTTTTAGTGGCGAAGTTGTTGTTGGCGACAGTGTTAGTTTTGGAAATGTCAAACGTCAAATGTAATTAATTAAAGAGAGAATTATTTTAATACTGATGTCATTGTGCTCATTGAACAATTAGTGTACATACAAAAGCAAGAAGTAAATAGTTGTGTGTGAGTAAATAGAAATAAGATTAAAAAATGGCTGGGGTTGACGAAAGTAGGTTGCGTGTGTGGCTCTCTAAGGTTTGTACGTTGTTTACTATTGAAATATTTTTATAAAGTTGTAACATTTACAGTACCACAACTCTGATGTAGCCGCGCGAGATATTTTAAGTGTAGTGAATCATTACCAAGGTCTTGTGCCAGTACAGGAAACATACAGTAAGTGCACATTAATAATTCAACACTTTCTCATGATTAGTTTCAAGCATTCAATGATGGGACCCCCATGGACTTAGTAAACTTAAACGGCACAATCCCGGTTTCTTACAAAGGGAACACTTATAACATCCCCATTTGCATCTGGTTGATGGACACTCACCCCAAAAACGCACCTATTTGTTATGTGAGACCCACATCTGACATGTCAATCAAACCGTCAATTTTTGTTGATCAAAACGGGAAAATATACTTGCCGTATTTACATGACTGGACATCAGGGTCCTCGGAACTATTGGGGCTTATTCAAGTGATGATTGTCACATTCGGAGACCAACCACCAGTTTTTGCTAAACCAAAGGAATCTGACATGCCTTACCCTAGTAATTGTTAGTGGAATCACAAAAGCTGACAGTTTGTGTTTATTCTGGATTTTGTAGCATTTATGCCGCAAGCTGGTGGTAATTATCTACCTCCTTACCCACCTACTTCTTATCCACCCACGTCAGGTTTTGGTGGTTACCCACCTTACCCAGCTTCGAGCAGTTTGCCATACCCTAGTTACACCCCATACCCAACGCCATACCCACCTTACAGTGGTAGCGGGTATGGGGGTCCTGCTCCCGCAGTAGGGGGCACAGGCACAATCAAAGATGAACACATCAGGGAGTCTTTGTTGACCGCTATCGAAGAAAAATTACTGAGGCGGATGAAAGAGCTGTTTCAGCAGCATCAAGCCGAACTGGAGACGCTCCAAAGGACTCATGATGAGCTCAAACAAGGAAAAGTGAAATTAAATACCATCTTGAGTCGGTTGGAGAAAGAACAGGTAGGTGTTTTTTTATTTGTTGTGTTCAATGACAAGTATCAGAATTATTTATTTACAGAGTGATCTTGACAAAAACATAACGGTGCTAAAAGACAAAGAACAAGAGCTTGATAAAGCTATAGAGAGACTTAGCAATGAGGAAGAAATTGATGTTGATGACGCGGTTACGACTACAGCGCCTTTATATAAACAGTGAGTGGGTGTGACGTGTTGTATCTTTTTTAGTGGTGGTTTTTTAGATTGTTGAATGCCTTTTCTGAAGAAGCAGCGATAGAAGATGCAATTTATTACATGGGTGAAGCCTTAAGATGTGGGGTTATTGATTTGGATGTTTTTCTTAGGCAAGTTAGGACTTTATCTAGGAAGCAGTTTATGTTGAGGGCTTTGATGCAGAAGTGCCGTCAAAAGGCTGGGTTGGCTGTTTAATATTACAGATATGAGGTTTGCTCTAATATTACTCTGTATTTTATTAAGAATGCAATTATTGTAAGTTGTAATTTTATTAGAGTATATAATTATATGAAGGCATAGTTTTAGATTATTGTTTATATTCAAATCAAATATTTAATAACTTAAATGGTTGTTTTATTGGGTTGAAAATTGACAGCGGTCACTCGAATTTGCTTCCTGTCAAAACTGACTTGGTTGTCGGCGATATTTAAATTAAATCAAAATTTGTCATTGAGAATTATTAAAGTTTCACCCTGTCAGCCTAATTTTGTTTTTTCAGAATTGGTTATTTAATTTTTTGACAACACAAACAGCATTAGGTGACCACGCTGTATAATGACGTCATTTTCATCTATAGTGACGTCATTTTCATGTCGTGACGTTTGACAGTTCGCACAATACGAAAATACGGTCTTCAGTTCCCGGATTTGTCGTCTGTTTAGTTGTTATTTCTTATCTGTATATGTGTTGACAATCTTTGGTGATAGTTTACGGAACACGGCTACGAATTTCTAGTGGAAAACGAAAACACAGTTATTTAGGTTAAGTTACTTTGCTTATTTTGTGTCGACATTTGTAAACGTGGTGCCTTCTGACTTTCTTATGTTAAAATATGTAGTTGGAAGACTTTCATTAACCCAGCTCATGGTATGAGAACCAATTTCTTATGCGAGGTACGTTTAAATTTTGAATTTTCTTGGCGCTTGCGTAAAAGTCTCTTTTGGCTCGATACTCGATAGTGATGTCATCAATTAGCCAAATACACTGACGTCATCCGAGGTCATCAAGATGGCAGCGTTTGACAAGTAGCCGGTTTTCTCATAAGAGTCAATGCTAATATTTTCGGAATTCATTTAAATTTGAGAGTGTGTCAACTATGTTTTTATAGTTTGGTAAGTTTGTTACAGTTTCTAGACTGTGTAGATATCTGTAAAACGCACCATAACGTTTGAATATTCTTAAAAAATAATGTTTTCCAATGTGATGTACAGGTTAACTTCGCTGCATCTTATATTATTTGTTTTGCAAATTAATTCTGTGTTAATGTACATCAATGTTTTTTAAATACACTAGCATCTTAATATTATAATATTTTGTATTTTAGGAGAAAATGCCTAAATTTTATGCTGTTGTGGGTTGCGCGAATCGAAGCACCAGAAATGCAGACAAATTTTATTTTCTTTTCCCAGCAATTAGCAACAATAAAGGTAAATATATACAGGATGGGGAAAAAAAGCGGAAGTTTTGGTTAAAAGCCTTGAAACGAGTACAGTAACTACCTATTAGATTTACAGTTTCTAATAAATTACTACATTGGTGCTCTTTTAGGTAAACCTGCAGATTTGTCGGATGTGGATCACCCTGATTATGTTCCATCACAAAATTTAGGATATCAAAATAAATCCACTCATAATACTTGTAATGTTGAAAGACACAGTCGTTTAAAAAAGAGAAAACTGAATAAATGCCTCTAGACTTTTGAATGCACGAATTTCATTGTGGGTTATTTTACTTATTCCAAAAATAAAAAAGTTTAGAATGGTATTCATTGTTATGATAGGGACATCGTCTAAACACAAATTAAAATCACTTGCACTCATTTTATAAGGATCTACGCCGTTTAAATTGTTTTAACTTTTGTACATATCTATTTTTCTCTTTGACGGAAAGACATCGTGCATAATCACTTAAATTATCCATACTTTAAAAACAAATCACACACCTTCACTTAAACCCGTCACATTAACCTCAAACGAAAATATTAATTTCCGATTTACCGCTTAAAACACACGGATGTATTTTGGGTGACGAGGAATTCAGACCAAAACAGCGTTCTGTATTTTTATTTTTATTATGTATTTTTAAACTCAAATCGCCAAAAAAAAAGCACCCTGATACACAGAAAAGGTATGAAAGAAGCTAGTCACATGTTTATTTTCTAGATAAATACCCACACTTTTAAATAAAATGCGAAAATGTTAACATTGTCACTTATGGAGTTTCACGGCGCTTGTCAAACGCTGAGTTCCCGCCACAGCGTGACGTCACGTGTTATTGGCTAATAGCAGAGATATGGAGAAGGAGAATGAGCTTCCCCATGCGCAGACGAAATCCTTGGTCTAAAATTGAAAGCAGCCATTTTATCAGTTGACTGTTGCCAACATAATCACAAATCACTAACAGAACTTGATATCCCTAGACAATTGCTTCATTATTGGGCGGGAAGTTTAAAATCATTAATTACAATCACCTAATAATAAATCACAACTAAAATATATTTCACCTTATACGAATAAATAAACATAATTATACTTCAATATATTTATTGATGCGAAAACAGTACTAATTATGTGTACACATGTCTAACAGAAGTGCCTTGAGCAAGACATGAAAGTCGTTTGCTCAAATTAAACATTCTTATTCGCATGTAGGCATTAATTATTTGTTTAATAAGAATATATAAATGGCCTTCATCGATGGCCACCGTCTCGAGTGCGTGGGTCTTCTAAATTAGGAAAAAGAAGGCTGGCATGCCGAAAGTTTTAAAAAATTGTTCATCGCTTGGAAGTTTATCGGTGAGTTGCAAAATTTTTCGTATTAACAGTAACAACAAGTCTTCACAACCCCAGCAAAAGGTTTAATAAGCCCACCTAAAATCAAAATTTTGTTAAGACTTAAAAAATAACTATTGTAAGTATTTTATTTTACCCATGTTTTTTTTGTCCAATAATCTGTAAAACTGTAAGTCACTTCCTCGTGTTTCAATGCAAGAAGAAATGCAGTCTGCGCGCTTAAACGTCTTCACCAGCATTTTGACAACATAGCTACCAATATATGCCACGTTTTCTGCCACTTCACTCAGCCCAATAAAATTAGACGTTCATAGTCATGATCTGCAAGTGCTTCAGTCAAAATATCGAGATCATATTTTTTCAAGACAAACACGTCAACTGATTGTTGAACATTTGTGCTCTTTTGCTTTGGGCCAATGCTAACAGAGAGCAGACAGGTGGTGCAAAGCACTTTACAATTTCCTCCTTCCCTCGTTATGTTTGTAATTGAAGCAATCTTCTAAGTTTTACAAAATCGTAGAGGAGTAGGGTTATTGTTTCACCCATTTCTCGATCTGAAAACAGAAAAATAAATACAGATTTGTGTAATTCCAGTGCATAAAAAAGTAATACAATTGTTTTTTTAAAAGCTTACCGCACTGAGCAGAAGAAAATTTCTAGATGATCTTGACTACATTTATGTTAGCAAGTCATTCAATCTCTTACTACTAACAAATTCATCAAAAATTCCCATGAACGACGTAGCGGAAATAACAAAGCCCAGAATTGACGTTTTTCGGGGCGTGCACCACAAAGGCCCGCCAGTGACATCCTTCAAATTCAGAAGATACTCACTGGTGTCGATGAGAAATGGACGCCACATTTCTTCATTGTTTTCTCTCAAAGGTGCCTTAAAATTCTTAGCACGTACACTTCGGGAATTGAGAATATCAAATAAAGAATCTATCCTTCTGATGAATTCTATTGTTGTTTGAGAACCTTGAAAGTCACTAATACCAAGATCTTTTAAAAATTCAAGTGCATCCGCAACTCTTGCTAAGAGTTTGTGCTGCTAAACTCACCTATAATAGAACTTAATTATTGTCAATAAGGAATATTGTCAGGAAAACAACTTACTTTCGATTTATGTTTCCATCACTCCAAATGTGCCTTTTTCAACTTGTTTGCAACATTTAGGAATTCATCATTTTGTAATTCATGTAGTTTCTTTATGTAACGCCAGCTTATTTTATTTATTCCCTCCTGTCAGAACTACTTTTTGAGTTCTTGCTTTTACTTCCACTTGTACTGCTACTGCTTTTTCCATGGTATCTCTGCGCAGCACTAAATAATAATTATTAACAGTAGTAAAAAATTCAATATAATAAAATATTCAAACCTTAATGTCCTCTTTACACCTTGAGGTATAATCGATGGAGACTCTTCTCAAATATCAGCTGAAGTAGCACTCACAGTACTCATTGAAGTTGAAGAAGCTTCTAGACTTTCATCTAAATTCACCCTGGGAATTGCGTTCGATTTCAATCGTTTTCTCTCATTTACAACAATGAAATCAGTTGTTGTGAAATGATCTGAGCACACCAGCTTATACTTAGTCAGTTTGAAGCTGTCATCTTTTTTCACAACAATCAGCCACTTTTTTAAAAGTTTTCAATCTTTCGGAAACCTAAAATCAGATATAATAAATATTGATCACATAGTATTGCAATAACCAATTGTTATTAATTATAAATATCTACGTATTCGATTTTAATAAGATAATGAAGAAAACTTACTGATGAAAAGATACACCTTCTGAACGAAATCGTTGACAATTTTTACAGTGAGAAACTGTACAAGACATGTTTGTTGTCAATAATAATGTCCTTTAACACTAACAAGCACGTTCACACGTACACTAACGGTAAAACAAATTAAGTAATAATTTTAACTCCAAATTACAACTGGTTCAACAACGTCGTAACCTCGTAGGTAAACAAAACTTTAAGGTTAACTGATAAAATGGCGGCCCCCATAGTGTACCGATGCGCAGAAGTCGAAACTCATTCTCCCTCTCCATATCTCTGGCTAATAGCATTGTTTAAGTATATTATAGTTGGACAACCTAATACAAATTTTACTTCGCCTAAATAGTGAGCTTTAGGACAAGGAATCCAGGGGGCGTGGGACAAATTTTTCGTCAACGCGCATTTTCACTACAGTGAGCCAACGTATTAGGTTTATTTTACTCTAAATCAGATGGCGCCATCAAACATTAGCAAAGGCAAACACCCTTTACTCTGCTCTTATACGAGGAGTTATCCATAAATCCATAATTAACATTGTTCCGTAAACAGTAATGTGTATAAACATATATGTACAAAATATGAAAATATACTTGACATAAAAAATATGAAGCAACGCGTTGTAACGTGATAAGAAAGAATTGAATTTAAATGAATTTGACGCATATTTTTATTTGACTATATCTGAAGACTGACAGAAACTTTCCAAGGGTTTTTAAACTGGTATAATTGTTTAGTTTTACAAGATTAAAGTAAAATTAGATTTTAAGTAAAATTTAGATTCGTGGTGTTACAAAAATATTAACACAAAATGAAAATATATGTTCAAAGTAAATAACAGAATGACATAAACTTTCGGCGTTAACATTACAAATAATTACAAGAGAGAAAAAAACGCATAAACAACTTAAGAGGCATGTTTGTAATATCGAGTTGTTAAAGGCTGCTTTGAAGATTGTTTGTTTCTATGAAAAACAATTGCTGTTATCGGACATTTTGGTAGATTTTGTTCCAAAAATACGAGATAACTAATTGTTTCTTGAACTAGTTTCCGTAACTTCTAAAATTTAAAAAGGATACGCCGTTCTGCTGTAATAAAATCTAGAATAAGGTCAAAATCACACTAATATTACATCTGATTTTGTTAACCACATGAATATAATTTACATTAAAATAAGTTACAGACATTGTTTGAAACGTTTATTATAGTTCGAAAACAAGATAAAATAAATAAATAAATAAATAAAATGTGCAGTTTATAAACTTCAGAATTTTAGTATAAAAATAATCATGTTTGAACCTTTATTTTGTCTGTTCCATTTTATTGGGTGTATTGGGCACCTCTCGGGACATAACACCGACATCAGTGCACCGACCCAACGTTCTTCAACCGATGGGATGATTTATTACTTCCGTTATGCTGGCCCTACACACAGCGATTTGGTTTTCGGATTTTCGGCTAGATCTGCACAGTTAACTCTTTGCGCACTGCACACTGACATAGAGTATTTTGTTCACGCGAGCATCAAAAACATTACGCCGAAAGCACTTCTTCAAGTGTTATTTTTTTAAGATGTCATATTTGTCAGTGTTTCCAAAATTTTCTTCTTTGCACAGGTCAACTAATTTTTCGTAAACCGCATTTTAAAATTTTTGTTATTGTATTTTTTACTTTTTAATTTTCTAAGGCATGAAAAAATCCCTTATAGGTTTCTATGAATTTATTAACGAAATCAACTTGTGTTAATTAATACCAATAGTGATTATGATAATTTTATAATTATCATTTTAATGAAATTGTGTTCTTCACTTCGCGAACGACAGCAAACAATTTAAAATTACCGTTAGTCAAGCACCTGAAAATCCATCTCTCCCAAATATGTCTTTCTTGGCACGATTTGTAATCCGAAGTCTCCCTCCACATGCAATTTTTCGTCGCCTGAGAACTTGTTTGATCTACAGACCAAAGCTCACTCAGGCCAATATCGGCTTTAAGCGATTTATCTATAAACCGATATTCGTTAGAGTTGATGTGATACAGTACATCCACTACGAAGAACTAACCCATTTCGACCATTGGACTTTACAACGAATAAGTGAACAAAGTTCTTGAACATCTTAACGATTTAATACATAATGTTCCCGAATGACAAAATTTACATTTCAAATTGTATTATCAAATTACACTCTCCAAAATTTGTCACGAACAATGAAATGACGCAATCTCCAAATTTTACAATAGTAAAATTGTAGTTTGGCCCCGTTTACGGTTTATGCATCCGTGTCGAGTTTTCACCTTAGACGTCAAGATTTTTGGAAAAAAAAATCAACATTTTCCAATTTATAATGTTATGTATTTAAATTTTAAAAAGTAGAATAGTCCTGATCTTGTGATTTATACCTAAATACGCTATTGGGATTTTTCGGCTTGTCGATTTCTCGATTTTTCAACTTTAAATGTCTCAATTTTTCAATATTTCAATTTTGGGCTTTTCCGATTCCTCCATGCCTTAAATTTTCTAATTCCCGATTTTTTTATTTTTCGATTTCTCAATCTTACGATGTTTCAATGATACGATTTCTCAATTTTTGTCCTCTTCAATTTTACGGTTTTTAAATATTTCGATTTTTCAATTTTTCAAATTTTCACGTTTCTAAATTTTCAGTTTGCCGATTTCTAAAGTATTTTTTTTATTTGTCCATTTCTGGATTTCCTAAAATTTCGATTTTTCACATCTTCAATTCCTCAATTTTTCGATTTTTTAAGATAACGATTTTTCAATTTTGCTTTTTTAGATTTTCGATTTCTCAATTTTCCAATTTTTTAATTTCTCAATTTTTTGAATATTTCTTTCAGTTATGAAATTGTTCAACATTTTAATGTTTCGACTTTTCGATTTTTGAATTGATGGATTTTTTTTTGATTTCTCGCCTTTTTCCTTTTTGGATTTTCATTTATTGTAAACTTTAGATTTTTCAATTCTGGGACTGTTTAATGCTTCGATTTCTCAATTTTTAAACTTTTCGATGTTTTAATATTTCATTTTTTAAAATTCTAGGTTTTTCGATATCTCGAGTTTTCAGTTCTTCTATATTTCAATTTTTCATTATTCGATTTTTTGAATTTTAATTTTTGATTTTCCAGTTTTTCTTTTTAAAAATTTTTCGATTATTCAATTTTTTAATTTCTCAATTTATCGAATTCAGATGTTTCCTTGTTTTGATTGTTCGATTTCTCAATTTTTCAATTTTTAACTTTCTTTTTCGGCTTCCGACTCCTCAATTTCTCGATCCTCCGATTTTTCGATTTCTCGAAGTCTCAGTTTTTGAATTTTTCGATGTTTCGATTTTTGGATTTCTCGGTTTTTCAATTTTTTTCTTTTGAGCTTTTCAATTTCTGGATTTTCCAATTTTTCAATGCCTCGATTTTTCAATTTTTCAAATTGAATTGGATCTCTCGATTCTTCAATTTTGCGATATTTTAATTATTCATTGTTTTAAATTTTAGTTTTTTCGATTTCTCGATTTTTTGACTTTTCAGTTCTTCAGTATTTAAATTTTTGAATTTTTCAAATTTTTGCGTTAAATTTTCAGTTTTCTGATTTCTCAATTAATCTATTTTTGATTTTCCCACTTCTCAAAGTTTCGATTTTTCAGCTCTTCAATTCTTCGATTTTTCGACTTCGCTTTATTGGTTTGTCGATTTCTCAATTTTTGGATATTTCTTTCAGTTTTGATATTTTTCAATACTTCGATTCTTTCATTTTTCGACTTCTAGATTTTTCAATTTTTTATTTTTGGATTTTCAGTTTTTTGTTTTTTATTTTAATTTCTCAATTTTTCAACTTTTTCATATTTTAATTTTTAAATTTCTAGATTTTTCAGTTTCTCGAGTTTCCAGTTCTATATTTTAATTTTTTAAATTTACGAATGTTTAAATTTTTTGAGATCTCAATTCACTGAGATTCGGATGTTTCGATGTTTTGATTATTCAATCTCGCTTTATCAATTTTTTCCATATTTAAGTTTTCGATTTTTCGATTTTGGCCTACTTCGGTTTCTCAATTTTTTGATTTTTCGACTTCTCGATTTTTCGACTCCTCGATTTTTTTTGTCTTTTGATTTTTCGATTTCTCGATGTCTCAATTTTTGAATTTTACAATGTTTTGATTTTTCGATTTGTTGGTTTTTCGATTTTTTGCTTTTCGGTTTCTCGATTTTTCGATGTTTCGATTTTTGATTTATCCGATTTTTCAATTGTCCAATTTTTAAATTCTCGACTTCTCGATTCGTTGATTTTTCAGGTTTTCGATTATTAAATTTTAGATTTTTATTTTTATTTTTGATTTTTTGATGTTTGGATTTCTCCATTTTTCAGTTTTAGGATATTTTAACTTTTCAGTGTTTTAAATTTTAGATTTTTCGATTTTTTAGTTCTTCAATATTTTTTTATTTTTCAAATTTTGACGTTTCTGAATTTTTAGTTTTTGGATTTCTCAATTAATCTATTTTTTTATATTCCCATTTTTCCACTTCCTAAAGTTTCGATTTTTCAGTTCTTCAGTTCTTCAATTTTTCGATTATTCAGGTTTTTGATTTTTCAATTTTTCGATTTTTTAAGTTTGCGATTTTTAGACACTGCTTTTTTGACTTTTCTGTTTCTCAATTTTTTAATTGCCTAATTTTTTGATATTTCGTTCAATTTTGTGATTTTTCAGTTTTTCGATTTCTCAATTTTAACTTTTCAATTTTTGAAATTATTAATTTTTTTCGATTTTTTGAGTTTTCAGTTCTCTATAATTTCAATTTTAGGAATTTTTAAATTTTCGATTGTCCATTTTTTTTTTATTTTTCGATTTTCCAATTTTTCGATCTTTCGATTTTTGAATTAACCGATTGTTCAATTTCTCGATTTTTAAATTTTAGATTTTCCAATTTTTATTTTTTTGATTTTTATATGTTTCGATTTCTCGATTTTACAATTTTCCCATATTTGAATTTTTCAGTGTTTTAAATTTTCGATTTCGAGGATTTACTGTGTTACAGTAGTCATCAGTCATTACTCATCAAGAACGATTATTGCTGTGCGTTAAAATGCCTACATACTGATCAAGCACGTACATACAAGACACATTTAAGGCTGTTTTAGTATAATTTTTGCAATTCTAAATTTATTTCTTGATGTCTAAATCGTATATATTTAAATGGTGATGAATATTTTGTGATACAATCTTAGG